ATGGTGTGAAGAAAACTTCTAACATACAGCAAATGAGGCAGATTGAAAAGGCATGAAAACAGAAACCACGGAATGAGAATGCTTTGCACACACCAAAAGTTTAAAAAACATGCTCTAATGATGGAAGACTGACTTAATCAGATTTACAGTTTCCAAGAGAATATAATTCTTCTAGTATTGTAAAGAACAAATTGGCAAAAGAGTTCAGAAGGGCACACATAGCTGGAAGATACTGTTACAGAATCAATGAGAGGTCCTCAAGGGTTGAAACCTGGGCAGAACTATTCTGCTACAACACATGAATTAGCTCATAAGCTAATTGGTAAGTAAAGGAATTATGTCAGTAAACTCAGAAATCACATTGGTTCATTTCCAATTTTTCCTAACATTTTTGCACTTGCAGATGCAAAATAACAGCGGCTAAATACAGCAAGCCATGGCGGAATAGAGCGTGATGCTCACTCACTCCAAGTTTCCTCTTGGCTCAATCTGGCTACATAAGAGATCTTACAATTGCTTACTGCAAGGTTCTCCCTAATCTTGACACATTCTTGTTTTGATACTTTCTTGTCTCCAGCAGCAGCCTCAACTCTTCCTTACATTTTCCTTAATCAGGCTAGCTTCATCTTTACTGTTTCATTCTCAGTCTATCCACTCGCCACAGTCTGACTTAATAGTAGCATTAACATAAACTAAAAATTATAAATTAGGCTTTAATATCAACTGATAAGGAAAAAAGTCTGTTGAATACCAAAATTTGAGAGCAACAAATAAAAGCAATAAATTATCCAAGAAATGCTGACAAAGTTAAGAAACTAAAAGGCCAAATAAGTTCAAACTGAAATTCAGAATAAGACCTATGATGTAGTCTTAAAATTAAAGCTCTTCAGTCAAATATCAGCTGCAAGACCTGGTCTCAATCTACTTATTCAAACTTAAGTTCCAACCAAGCTCATTATTCTCAGTACACAGATCAGGTTTTCTGTCTTCTATTTTACAATAGGTTCTGCCACACTTAAGCTATCACAAATCTCAACTTAGATATTACTTGTATTACTCAGGGTTCTCCAGAGAAACAGACCAACAGGATGCATACATGGAGAGAAATTTATTTTAAGGACTGGCTCATGGAATTGTGGCGGTCTGGTAAATCCAAAATCTGCAGAGTAGGCTGGCAGAATTCCTCCTTGCTTAGAGGTCAGTCTTTGCTCTAGTAAGGCCTTCAACTGATTAGATGAGTCCCATTCACATAATGGAGGCTAACCTACTTCATTCAAAACCTAACCAATTAAACGTTAATCTCATCCAAAAAACACCTTCACAGAAACATCCAGAATGTCTGACCAAATACCTAGGCACTGTGGCCCAGGCAAGTTGACACACACAACTCCACCCAGGCTGAAGTAACCTGTTCTTCTGAAAACTACAGAGCATTCTATCATTGTGCCCATACTCCGCCTCTTTTAGAATTTAAAGACCTTCAGGAGAAAGATGTATCTAGATCATCTTTGCAACTCCCACAGAAACTAATACAGTGCTCTACCTATAGGTGACATCTGAATATTTCTTGAATAAATCCCACACTGGAAAATGCTATATTAAGTAAGCCATTTCCAAAAGTATGGAATAGTGTTTACTATCAAGTAAATCAAATTAAATTTAAAAAGACAAGGTGACTGTTTAAAGAAATAATTGGACATCAATAGGATGGGAAAATGGGGAAAAAATCCCGAGCATATTTAAAAAACAGCCTACATACAAAAGCATCAAACTGGGAAATAAGCAAGTCACAGTTCTGTGGCTGACACTTATACACCTAAGTACAGCTCTTGTTGCACACTCAGTGCCACACACAAACTCTTGCTGAAACCATCCGAGATACAGCATATTTGGAATAAGCTATTACATCTGATTTAACATAGGTTTAATTAGTTACTTAAATACTAAGAGAGCACCATCTCGTCTACAATGCAGTGCCCTTGCACAGGCCCTGAAGGTAGGATGGTAGTGAGTGGACTCCAGATTTTTTACTTGGGAGCGGAGCTTTGCAAAGTAAGATTCTGCAGGCTTGCTCTTCGAACCGCATCACAGCCTGCTTCCACAGACCTTCACTTTCTGCAGACCTGTACTCTCTTCTCTGGCCCCTTCTTCA